TGTATGCCATAATCACCAGTATTAAAACAATTAAAGGCCTGAAATATTTCAGTTGGTGTGCAATGAATCTGAAATATATGAAAGTTTCATTTTTATCATTACATTATGGAAAATAATGACCTTTATCACAATATGCTAATTTTTTGAGAAGGACCTGTACAGGTGAGACTGGGACCGTGTCTTTAGCGATATGATAAGATGCTTATTTATTAATGTAGCGACGCCACCTCTCACTGTTCCTCTCATAAGGCGCAGCACGGCTAAATAAGATTTACAGTGGGGGAAAAAAGTATTTAGTCAGCCACTGATTGTGCAAGTTCTCCTACTTAGAAAGATGAGAGAGGTCTGTAATTTTCATCATAGGTACATTTCAACTATGAGAGACAAAATTAGGAATTGGATTTTTGTCTCTCACAGACCTGTAACTACTTCTTTAAGAAGCTCTTCTGTTGTCCACTCATTACCTGTATTAATGGACCAGTTTGACCTCGTTATCTGTATAAAAGACACCTGTCCACAGCCTCAAACAGTCAGACCTCAAACTCAACAATGGCCAAGACCAAAGAGCTGTCAAAGGACACCAGGAAGAAAATTGTAGACCTGCACCAGGCTGGGAAGAGTGAATCTACAATAGGCAAGCTGGTTGGTGTGAATAAATCAACTGTGGGAGCAAATGTAAGAAAATGGAAGACATACAAGACCATTGATAATCTCCCTTGATCTGGGGCCATACGCAAGATCTCATCCTGTGGGAGTCGAAATGATCATGAGAATGGTGCGCAAAAATTCCAGAACTACACTGGAGGATCTGATGAATGACCTGCAGAGCTGGGACCAAAGTAATAAAGGCTACACACTACACAGAGAGGGACTCAAATCCTGCAGTGCCAGGTATGTCCTCCTGCTTAAGCCAGTACATGTCCAGGCCCGTCTGAAGTTTGCCAGAGAGCATGTGGATGGTCCAGAAGAGGACTTTAATAATATCATGTGATCAGATGAAAGCAAAATAGAACTTTTTGGTAAAAACTCAACTTGTCGTGTTTGGAGGAAGAAGAATGCTGAGTTGCATCCCAAGAACACCATACCTACTGTGAAGCATGGGGATGGAAACATCATGCTTTGGGGATGTTTTTGTTCAAAAGGGGCAGGATGACTGATCCGTGTGAAGGTAAGAATGAACGGGGCCATGTATCGTGATACTTTAAGTCAAAACCTCCTTCCATCAGTGAGAGCACTGAAGATGGAACATGGCTGAGTCATCCAGCATGACAATGATCCCAAACACACCGTTCGGGCAATGAAGGAGTGGCTCCGTAAAAAGCATTTCAAGGTCCTGGGGTGGCTTAGCAAGTCTCCAGACCTCAACCCCATGGAAAATTTGTGGAGGGAGTTGAAAGTCCATGTTGTCCAGCGACAGCCCCAAAACATCACTGCTCTAGAGGAGCATGGAGGAATGGGCCAAAATAGCAGCTACAGTGTGTGCAAACCTGGTGAAGACTTACAGGAAATGTTTGACCTCTGTCATTGGCAACAAAGGTTATGTTACAAAGTATTGAGTTGGACATTTGCTATTGACAAAATACTTATTTTCCACCATAATTTACAAATAAATTATTTCAAAATCCTACAAAGTGATTTCCAAGATTTTTTTTTCTCTCAATTTTGTCTCTCATAGTTGAAATGTACCTATGATGAAAATTACAGACCTCCCTTATCTTTCTAAGTAGGAGAACTTGCACAATCAATGGCTGACTAAAGATTTTTTTCCCCACTGTATATTGTGGTTTGTTTCAAGGAAGGAGGCTGAAGTCTGTCGGAACTGCAGATTCACACATGCTTACTAATGTTGTGAAGGCGGTGAGGCTGAAGAGGATTATTATTATATACTATTTTATATGTAAATAAAGGTCTAAAAATCAAACTAATTTGTGTAAATAGTTTATTTATTTTGACATTTATTTTGTACAGTTATGGCTGTTTGTTAATAAATAGGCCTGTGTAACAACTGGGACAAAGTTTTGAGTCAGAAATATATTTTTGTTATTACTTTATGGAAAGAAAAACTATTGAGATATATATCATACAATGGGTACAGAAAGTATTCAGACCCCTTTAAATTTTTCACTCTTTGTTTCATTGTAGCCTTTTGCTAAAATCTAAAAAGTTCATTTTATTTCTCATTAATGTACATCAGCACCCCATTTTGACATAAAAAAACAGAAATGTAGAAGTTTTTGCAAATTTATTAAAAAAGAAAAAATGAAATATCACATGGTCATAAGTATTCAGACCCTTTGCTCAGTACTGAGTAAAAGTACCCTTTTCAGCTAGTACAGCTATGATTCTTCTTGGGAATGATGCAACAAGATTTTCACACCTGGATTTGGGGATCCTTTGCCATTCTTCCTTGCAGATCCTCTCCAGTTCCATCAAGTTGGATGGTGAACATTGGTGGACTCTCCAGAGATGCTCAATTGAGTTTAGGTCAGGGCTCTGGCTGGGCCAGTCAAGAATGGTCACAGAGTTGTCCTGAAGCCTGTCCTTTGTAATTGTAGCTGTGTGCTTAGGGTCATTGTCTTGGAAGGTGAACCTTTGGCCCAGTCTGAGGTCCAGAACACTCTGGAAGAGGTTTTCTTCCAGGATATTGCTGTACTTGGCTGCATTCATCTTTCCTTCAATTGTAACCAGCTGAAAAACACCCCCATAGCATGATGCTGCCACCACCATGTTTCACAGTTGGGATTGTATTGGACAGGTGATGAGCAGTGCCTGGGTTTCTCCACGCATACTGCTTAGAATTAATGCCAAAAAGTTCAGTCTTCGTCTCATCAGACCAGAGAATCTTATTTCTTAAGAGTCTGGGAGTCTTTCATGTGTTTTTTGGGCAAACTCTATGAGGGCTTTCATATGTCTTGCACTGAGGAGAGGCTTCTGTCGGGCCACATAAAGCCCCAACTGGTGGAGGGCTGCAGTGATAGTTGACTTTGTGGAACTTTCTCCCATCTCCCTAATGCATCTCTGGAGTTCAGCCACAGTGATCTTTGAGTTCTTCTTTACCTCTCTCACCAAGGCTCTTCTCCCACGATTGCTCAGTTTGGCTGGACGGTCAGGTCTAGGAAGAGTTTTGGTCATCCCAAACTTCTTCCATTTAAAGATTATGGAGGCCACTGTGCCCTTAGGAACGTTGAGTGCTGCAGAAAGTATTTTGTAACCTTGGCCAGATCTGTGCCTAGCCACAGTTCTGCCTCTGAGCTCCTTGGGCAGTTCCTTTGACCTTGTGATTCTCATTTGTTCTGACATGCAATATGAGCTGTGAGGTCTTATATAGACAGGTGTGTGCCTTTCCTAATCAAGTCCAATCAGTTTAATTAAACACAACTGGACTCCAATGGAGTATAAACATCTCAAGGAGGACCAGAAGGAAATGGACAGCATGTGTGTCACAGCAAAGGGCCTGAATACTTATGACCAGGTGATATTTCAGTTTTTCTTTTTTAATAAATTTGCTAAAATTTCTACATTTCTGTTTTATTATGTCAAGATGGGGTGCTGAGTGTGGATTAATGAGAAATAAAATGAACTTTTTAGATTTTAGCAAAAGGCTGCAATGAAACAAAGAGTGAAAAATTTAAAGGGGTCTGAATACTTTCTGTACCCACTGTATATCGCGATTTATCTTAAAATATCGAGATATTCATTTTAGTCCATATATCCCAGCCCTGCTGCCCACGAACAGCATGTTTTGAGTTAGCAGAGAGAGCTGGATGAGGAGCTGACTGGAGGCTGCAGGTATGCAACTATTGCTTCAAGGTTGCCTCCAAGTCTGTGAGTTTGGCTGAACTAAAAATAAGCCTAACACACTACCCATGGCAGATTCTCATGACTGAGCTTCATGCATGTACTTCCTGTATATCTGTATAACCTGCCCTGGAAATTTGTCCTTGCAAGTAAAACCAGAAAAAATATATATTCTCCTGTTGTCGAATGTGGCTTCTTTGAGTAAGTGAGATAGAGGATATTTTTATCCAATATTTGTCTCTAATGAATGATTTTCTTTTTGATAAATCCTCTAGTTAGGGTTGGCTTGGGTTTCCTGAGCTATCCCTTAGTTATGTTGCTATAGGCTTAGACTGCTGGAAGACAGACGGACCACATGTCCTCTCACTGCTGCTGTCTTTACTTGTTCTACTCTACCTGTCTGTATTTGTAATTATTTCTATTTTAACATGTATTTTTGTCTTTCCTTCTATAGAAAGTACATCTGGACCTGTCATTCTGTGTTTGTTTGTTTCTCCTTCCCGTCTTCTCAAACCCAGCCGGTCAAAGCAGATGGCCGCTTGTCCTGAGCCTGGTTCTGGTGGAGGTTTCTTCCCATTAAAAGGGAGTCTTTCCTTTCCACTGTCTACTTTGTGCTTGCTCAGGATGGGAGACTGTGGCGAAGAGAAGATTCAACGCAATCTCCTGACTTCCTTAGATAGATAACTATCAGATGTGGCTGAGTGGTTAGAGCAGTCGCCCTCAAATGGGAGAGTTTGGAGTTCGATTCCAACAGCAGTCACATGTTGAAGTATCCTTGGGCAAGACATACCTCACAGCCTCTGATGTGTGTCCCATTGGTGTATGAATGTGATCTAAAGCTCTGATTAGTCTCTACAGATGTAGATGATCATTGTAGCGATGTAGTAAAGTGCTGTGTGAATGTGTGTGTGGAGGTAAATGAGGACACAAATTTTGTTGTAAAAAGCTTTGAGTATTTTGATTAGATAGAAAGGTGCTATATAAGTACAGTCCATTTACCATAACTTTTACTAATGGGCTTTTATAATGTATGTGAATGTTTTTGTACAGTGCCCTGAGATGACGTCTGTTGAGACTTGGTGCCATATAAATAAACTGAATTGTACTCGGTCTGAAAAATAAAAAAACTAGTATAGGAACACTCCTTGAGCTTTGACTAAAAGTTTCATCAAAAATGTTGGGTTTGACCCATGTTTTCTTACCATTCCATTAATGGGCACATCGTCGTAGTGCAGAGCCATGCCAGAGGGACAGGCATAGCCATTGATCAGGTTTTCCCGGTACGGACTGGGAGAGATAGCACGCTTACTGGTGAAGCTTAAGAAACAACAAAATTCAATGTGAAAAACAGGCAGGTAGCAACTGTGACTATGTACCGGTGTTACATAGTGAGAAACATGAGTCAAAGAAAATGTTTGCCCCTACCAAAATGACTGTTTGGCCAGTTGAATGACGTTGGCGGTTGTCTCCACATCGATGTAGTCATAGTGCAGGGTGGCTGGGTCTGTGGTGGAGCCAGTCTCAGCCAGTAGAACCCCTAACCAGCGACCCAGCTCCTCGGACGAGGCGGCCTGGATAAGAACAGGAAGACATCATTACAGACTTCTACAGCATATGTATATGACAACACTCCTGAAGAAAAAAGGATGCCAAGGTTCAGTTCATCAGAACGTTATGATCAGGGCTTAATTTGTAAACTGACTGATGTCAGAACAGCGGGCAGGCTGGGGGTGGGGGGTGGGGGTCCTCTCACAGAAAATTTTGAATCACAGAGATGCCATTTCCTGCATTTTGGTGTATTTCAACAGGTTGTTATACATCAGCATTTACCTACATTTGTAAACACTTAATAAAATTACTATTTTGGAGAGCAACAGGTTGTGTGTGAATAGAGTTGATTCTGTCAGGTGTCCTAAACCCCCCTCCTCCCTCCCCTCACTTCACGGTTCTGAGATGAGCTCTTCTCCACTGATTTTGTTGCTCCTGCTCTAATCTCGTGGCACCGTTTGAAGCACCTAAAGGCTTCAATTTTTGGTTGTCAGACAATCCATCCATTTTTTATTAAAGTAAATTGGACTCTTTTTGACATTTTGATCGCTGTTGTTATTTTGACAAATTAGCGCCATTGTTTTGAAATGTGACGTATAATGTGAATAACACATCAAACATTTCTCTTTGTATTGTTAATTTATTTTTTACAGAAAGCTTTTTATATTTATTATGTCTGAAACGTAGCAGGAGTTCAGACACCTGCAGATGTGCATGCGCTAGAGCTGTCTGGAGACGCTGTGCATAACGTGCACTGTCCACAGGCATTTATTTATTCTGATGAATAAATGATCGTTTCTGTTTTCGGGGGTCTAAGAGGAGAAGAGGTGTTTTTCAGTGTGCAGCCCTGTAGGGACAATATTTGGAGAAGAGGAAAAAAGGACTCTGCACAGAACCTCCGTGCGTAAATGTGACCATCTGTCCCTCTGTCCTCACTCCCATCTGCCTAGAAGCTCCTCGAGCTGGTGCGCCAAGCGTGCTGTGGCTGGAACATCCACTCCACAGACTGGGTCCACCGGGCTAAGGGCAACATCTCCTTTCGTTGTATTTTTTAATAAATAATTAAAATAAAAATGCGTGATGACTTTGGACTTTTAGGGGCGGAGTTGGCAGATGCAAAAAAAAAAAAAAAGTTGCCAGAACACAACTGGTTAAAATGAGAGAGTTCCTGGATCTTGTTCCAGCAGGATCCGGCTCAAATTAACCACTGGTTATGATGATCCCCTTACTAGTCGGTCAGTTTGACTGAAACAGCTGAAACCAGCAGCTCACCTCCAGCACGGCCACTTCTTGAGCATTACGAAGCAGGCGGAAGGCAAATGGGTGTTTATGGTTCAGGCCGGGATTGACCTCGCAGCCTCTAAGGGGCAGAGAGGCAACATGGCTCTTTAGGTCATCTCTATCCTTGTGGAGGAGCAGTTGGTTGTCTTTCAGGCGGCACCAGCGCTCCCGCCAGCGGTTATTGGACAGCACGTTCAGGTAACCTGTTAGTTAGAGCAGAGACAGTCAGAATCCAACTTTAATTCAATTCAATTCAGTTTATTTATATAGCGCCAAATCACAACAACAGAACTCATCTTAGGGGCACTGAACAGAAACATTCATATATATATATAAAGTAAGCTAATAATATCATTTATCTGAGGAGCAGACTGCTTTGAGTTTAACTCCATCACAGAACTCTCATCTTGAGCAAGCATGAAGGTGACAGTGGAAAGGAAAAACTCCCTCATGAGGAAGAAACCTTTAGCAGAATCAGGCTCAGGACAAGAGACCATCTGCTTCTACCAGCTGGGTTTGAGAGGAACAGGAAGAAGGAACAGATCCACAATGGCAGGTCAAGAATCATGTTAAGATATAAATAGTATCAAATGAAAACTATTACATTTTAATAATTAATTTAAGGAAATATGGTCAATTCGTCCTCCATTAGTCTAAGCCTATAGCGGCATAACAAGCCAACCCTAACTACAGGATTTATCAAAAAGGAAAGTCTTAAAACTGGACGATGTGTCAGCCTCACGGACAGAAACTGGAAGTTGGTTCCACAAGAGAGGAGCCTGATAACTGAAAGTCTTCCCCCATTCTGCTTTTGGAAACTCTGGGGACCATGAGATAGCCTGCAGTCTGAGAGCAAAGTGCTCTGTTAGGAAAATATGGAACAATAAGTCCAAAGTTATTGAAGAACAAAAAATCCAAGTCCTTTGGATGAAACCTCTCAGAAAAAAAAAAAAGTCCAGATGACCTGACAGAATATGGTTGGATTTTTACCTGGAATACTGAGCATGAACTTTGATGATGTAACAATAAGATCTATAATATAAGATGGAGCCAGGTTGTTGAGGGCTTTGTAGAAGTAAGATTTTGAATTCTATTCTGGATTTGACAGAGAGTCAATGGAGAGAAGCTAAAACTGGAGAGATATGATCTCTCCTACTAACTCAAGTTAAGACTCTGGCAGCAGCATTTTGGATCAACTGAAGACTTTTTAAATACATTTTTGGACATCTAGATGTGACAAATGCATGAACCAGTTTTTCTACATCATTTTTAGACAAGATGTTTATAATTTTAGCGATTCTATGTCTTTAAGACATGCTTGTAGTCTAAGTAGCTGATTGGATTCATTGGGTTTCATGGACAAATATAGTTGTGTATCTTCAGCATAACGATGAAAATGTATCCCATGCTGTTTCATAACTTTACCTAATGGAAGCATATAAAAAGAGTATTGGTCCAAGCACTGAACCCTGAGGAACTCCATGACTAACTTTGGTGTATGAAGAACATTTATTATTTACATTTACAAACTGGAATCTATCAGATAGATATGATTTAAACCATTTTAGAGCTGTTCATGCAATTCCAACATCATATTCAAGCCTCTGTAGTAAAATATTGTGATCAACTGTATCAAATGCAGCACTGAGGTCTAACAGGACCAGTATAGACACAAGTCCATTGTCTGAGGCCATGAGAATATCATTAGTGACTTTTACTAGTGCTGTTTCTGTGCTATGATGAACTCAAAACCCTAACTGAAACTCTTCAAACAGATTATTTTTTTTGTAGATGTTCACGCAACTGACCTGCAACTATTTCCTCTAGAATTTTTGAGATGAAAGTTAGATTAGATATATCGGTGGGTCTATAAATGGCCAGGAATCCTGAGTCAAGGTTATGTTTTTTAAGTAAAGATTTAATTACAGCTATCTTATGTCCCGGATATTTCCGGCTTGACACGTGTTTGAGGTCTTTTCCATGGTTCTTGGGACCGGCTCACCTCCCAGAATTCTGGCCCGGCTTCTCAAGGGGTCCAAGCGAGCCGAGCCATGATGTCAGAAACACTGTTGGTCACTGATTGGTCGGGGGGAGGAGCCTGTGGAATCTTTCCAAACAACCCGATTCGCCATTTTTCTTTACTGCCTGCCATTAGCGATAACTCGAGGAGCGTATCTTTTGGTATTTTGAAGATATACAAAAACAATAATATCAAAGCTGTGGTCAAATGCAGAAGTGCAGGTGGTGTTGTGCTTGGTGGCCGACGAAAAAAGTCAAAGCGAGCTAGATGGAGCAATTGGAGGGTGGTTTGGACATGGCCACCGCTCTACTTGAATCATTTATAGAAGATGGTGAGTGTTTTCTAACTTTAAATATATTTTAAGTTACTCATCCCATCTGTTCTGAAGATAATTTTAACTAACAAAAGAGGCTGACGCCATAAAAGGACATCGGTGCTACGATGCTAAGCCAATTTGCATAAACGCCAACTGTCCTCCGGTCCCGTTTCTCACTGTATTTTATCCAGAACATATTTCAGCGCGTGACGGTTCATCTCTAAACTCCACATTAAACCCTCCAAGCCTCCTGGCTTCTGCCCCTGCTCCATCAGCAGAATCTACACCTAACAGAGCAGCACAACGCTGCAACATTCTGTTATTGGTAAGAACAGATGCAACATGTTCCACATCACTTTATTTGTGCCGATAAAGACTTGCTTTTATTTTATTTTTAAAGTGAAAAAAATTAAATAAATACTGAATACGCACCACATGTTGAACATGTGGTGGGATGAAATTATGTACACAGGGTCCCAGTTACAGACAACAATAAAATGTAAAAGAAAAACAGTAATAAGATCTAAGATATGAACTAAGAAAAATATGAACTACAAACATCTACTAATAAAACACTAAGCACTAATAGCAGTAAACAATCAAAACAATACGTCAAACAGCAACATGAACTGGAGTTTGTGCAGCCTTATGAATATATAACACTGTGAAGAATCACATCATGTTGCTGTTGATCCGTTTCATGTTGCTGCTGATCTGTTTCATGTTGCTGCTGATCAGTTTCATGTTGCTGCTAATCAGTTTTGTGTTGCTGCTAATCAGTTTCATGTTGCTGCTGATCTGTTTCATGTTGCTGCTTATCTGTTTCATGTTACTTCTGATCAGGTTCGTGTTGCTGCTGATCAGTTTCATGTTGCTGCTGATCTGTTGCATGTTGCTGCTGATCTGTTTCATGTTGCTGTGTTCATTTGTGCTCATGTGTTCACACAGACTCATGTCTGTGCTGCTGTTCGGCGTATTGTGTTTATTGTTTTTATGCTATTAGTGCTTAGTGTATTTTTAGTTGATGTTTTTCTTAGTTCATATCTTAGATCTTATTACTGTTTTTCTTTCATATTTTATTGTTGGATGTAACTGGGACCCTGTGTACATAATTTTGATCCACCACATGTACCACATGTGGTGCATATGGCAATAAAGAATATCTGTATAATACTTTCTGATTCATACATCAGTTGTCATTACATTATTTTCATTATTTTTAAATCAATTTATTTTTCATTTTCTTATCTTATCAGTTTATTATTATTAATATATCATAACTGTTAGCTGCACCTTTCTTTGTTTTATGCATTGATTCAAAAACAGTATGTAGATTGAATTAACCAACTTTTTCTTCTTTCTAGTCAAGAGAAAGAGAAAAGAGTCCAGTAAAGAAAAGTCTTATTTCATCACTGAATGAACATGAAGAACTGAACCGGACACAGCAGGAACAACACGTGTCTTCTGGATGAAGCCCGTGAGACAACGGAAACGCAAAGAGACACGAGATGATCTGAGCTGACCCGAACTGACCTGATCCGCACCGTAACAGTAGAAAAGGGGCATTAAAGCGCTGTGGTGCGTCACTATTTATTAGAGACAAATTAAGTAGATTCAAAATGTGGACATTAATTAAGGGAAACACCTCTTTAAACAGTTTGGTTGGGATGGGATCTAGCAGACATGAATGGTTTGAATGAAGTTATTATTAAGATTGTTAATTATCATTATTATTTATTTATTTATTATTTATTCTTTAGAGAAGTTACAACACACACAGACATATGTATATATATATACACACACACACACACACACACATATATATGTATACGCACGTATATATATATATATACACTCATATGTACACACACACACATGTATATGTATATATATATATACACATATATGTACACACACACACATGTATATGTATATATATATATACACATATATATACACACATATATATATATATATACATATATATATATATATGCATATGTACATACACATATATACACACATATATATATATATATATATATATATATACATAAATACATACAAATATATACACATATATATATATATATATA